GATGGTGCCCTAAGTGGTGCCAGCAATAGTCCTTGTATCAATGAGAGACTCCTGGGAGCTAGGAGGACCCACGTGCCATTCAGATCCACGTGCCAGGTCTCTGCTGGCACAGCTCAGTCTCTGCGGGGCCTGTCCTTAACTACCAGTGAGCCAACTGTTCCTTGGGTGTCAAATAAAGGTTGACTCAGAGGGCCTTGTAGGAGTAAGTGGGGCCAGTTATAGGAGCTGCAGAGAGGGAATATTTCCCCATAGTTAAGGAAAGAATGAGAGGTTGGGCAGATCAATAAGGGTACAAGAAATAAAGATCAGATTCAAGGGCACAGAGAGACCCTGCTGAGAATGAGTGCATTGGGACTGGTGAGGTAGCTCAGCTGGTAAAACCATTGCAGCCAAGCCTAATGATCTGTGCTTCATCACAGAATCCATAGATGAGAGCCAAAAATTGACTCCCCAAAGCTGTCTTCTGACCTCCAAACATGCCAAGCATATGTACCGCCCCCACAATAAATAATGAATAAAAAGAAAAAACAAGTCTATATGTGACCACACCTGCAGTGAAGGGTGAAGATTTGAGGAAGCCGACCTCAGCTTCCAGGAGGGGGTGGGTGAGCAGCGGGGTGAGACTGCAGGGAAAAGCTGAAGCCCAAGGAACACATACAGAGAGGACTCTTTGTTCCTGTGCTGGGTCTAGCGGAAACAGAGGCAGGCTTGACTGTGCCTATAATCCCAGAATTTGGAAGGCTGAGGACAGAAGGATGGTGAGTTCAAAACCAGCTTGAGTATGATACTGCAGACAGAGAGAGATTCAGGAATAATTCTGAGAATAGTTACTGAATGGACAGACAGGGACTTCTGTCCACCAAACCCATCCCCATGCCAGTGCCCAAGGTCCACCTAAGAAAGCTGGAAGACTCCTGGCATGGAAGCCTAAGAGTGGCTGGGAGAGAAGGGTCCTATGAGAGACACTGAGCAGGCCCAGGATAAGTGGTGCTCCCAACCTGCAGGTAAGGCTCAAAGAGTCCAAAGTCTAGGACAATGACCTTGGGCACTGCAGAGAAAAATGGAAGGATCCAGAGAAATGGAAGCATTCAGTCTAGCTGCTAGCATCTGGGAGTGGGACCAGCTGGGACCGGAGCAGCAGGAAGCTGTTTAATGATCAAAACCCACCTCAACTTGGACCCAGGTCTTGACTGGAAGTTGGGCCAACCCTCCTGGGCCTACTTCTACACAGAAGGCCCCATTTGCTGTCCCAGCCTGGGGCCATCAACTGACCTAATTTCCAGAGTTCCCTACAGTCCCACCATCCATCACCCACCGAAGGGTGAGATCAATGTGTTGGTGGAACAACCAATCAAAAAGGAGCTGTCCAGAGGTCAGGGCCAGATGCAGTTAATCCCTTTAGGGTTTATCTTGAGACTCCCTGCTTCTGCCCCATGGACCAAAGATTCCCCCTGCCAAAGGAGGAAGGGTCTCATCCACTAGCATTTTCTCACAGAACAGGAATGTGCTGTGGGTTGGGAGGCGACCAAGAGGAAAGCAACCGGATTTCCAGATTGGTGAAGCTAGCAGGTGTCTCGATGAGGGCACTCACTGCCATATTGCCTACTGAACAAACTCAAAGGTGAGCAAATGGAAGGCTGTTCCCATGGCTTCTATACTGCAGCTTGGACCCAGTGTATCAAAACATTCAGACCCCACGGTCTTAGGACCTGGAGGAAAAGATGGAAACAGCCATTTCCACCTCACTCCAAACCCCGCTCAACCCCAGAAAGAGAACCCCAAATCACAACCCCCCCTTCTCCTTCTCCTCCTTTCCCCCCTTTCCCCTTTCGGGTAAAGGTAAGGGACTGAAGACTCCGGGCGGTGGGGAAGGCGGGACTTTAGATTAATATGCAACACTCTATT